ATATATATATATATATATATATATATATATATATATATATATATGAAGCTTGCATGCATCTCTAAGCTAAATATTCTGATTGTTGTGCTAAGAGCATCTCCAAGAGTGTCTAAAACAGTCTCCAAAGAATTTTGGTAAGATTGAAAAAAACACATCTCCAACAACTCTCAAACCCATCTCCCAATCTTTTGGCACTTGAAAAAAAAACACCCCATATGCGTAAAGTTACGCGCACGTATTGTTGCGCCAATCTAGAGGTGGAAGGACGTGGGAAAGAAAAAAGTAGGACATGAGGTTCTTAATGCAAATGTACAAGAGAGAAATAAAATATAAAAGTGATTAGTGTGATTTAGAAATAGTTTAGGATTTCTGATGTAAAATTACCTTCTATCCTTTAGGCGTGAAATTTTGGAAACTGTTAAAGTTGTAGCTTTTTTATATCTTTCAATATATTTTGCAAAGGATGGAAAACCTGTTTTTGGGATTATTTTTTAGATACTAGTGGAGATGCTCTAAGGATGTCCGTCTGTCCGGACGTTGCCATTGATGGCCACGACACCAGTCAAACAGTCCAAATCTCCACTTCCATATCTGCTCGCCCCCAACCTTATCTGCTCGTGAGCCCATCGTTTATTCCTCTCCATTCACCGCACCACCGTTGCGTCCACACCGCCGCACACGTGCTCCAGCGCGACAATGCCACCACGGCGCTTTCCACCGCGCGTGCTCCAGCCCGCCACCGCGCCCGACCGGTCTCTCCACCACGCTCCATCGCCGTCGCGCGCCATTCTTCCTCTCCCCCGGGCTATCCACCCGCTGCGGTGTTCTCCACCGCGCCAGCCTCCTTCTCCACCGAAGTGGCCTTCTCAACCGGAGCTGCGCGCCACTCCGCGGCATCGAGCTCCGCACCAGCATCGAGCTCTGCGTCGACGAGCCTCCAATCGTCTAAGTAGCAAGTAGATGTTGCGCTAAAAACACATGTTGCAAGCATATGTTTTAAATGTTTTAGAGATATGTTGCAAGTGTTTCGTATAGATGTTGTAAAAATAGATCGGGATGTTGCATATGTTGCAATGGTAGTACACGTATATTGCAAACCTCTATTCCCAATGTTTCATCTATTTTCATACGTATGTTGCAAGTGTGTTTGTCTGATGTTGCATATGTCTCTCACATATGTTGCAAACGTTTTATCTGGATGTTGCATGTGTTTGCAATGATTTTCAAGTGTTTTTAGGTGTTTTTGCAATGGTTTCAGACTCATGTTTCTAAATGTTTCATCTGTTCTCAGACGTATATTGTAAGTGTTGCATCTGGATATTTCAAAAATAGATCGGGTGTTGTACATGTTGCAATATGACCCGCCTGCTATAGCTTCTTAGGAGGTGCGAGGGTGGGGCGCAGACGCCGCGTGGTGCGAGCGGGGGGTGCAGAGACTGTGTGGGTTTGAGTGGGCGTAGACGCCGCGTCAAGTAGGTCGAGGTGCAGGTGCGGGAACAGGGTGCAGGCGCGGGTATCCGAAGGCTAGCAACGCCGATTTTATATAGTCACAAAGCGTCGTCGAATGTATTGTAGTGAAAGCGTCGTCGATCACTTGATAAAAAAAATTAAACCGAGATAATGGGCTGTTCCATCCATTATCCATTGCCGACTAAAACAGCCCAGCCCATAAACTCGTACGGCCTGGCTGATCAGAAGAGAAGAGAGCTGAGCTGGCAATCCTCCCTCCCTTCCCCACTGTCAGTGTCAGTTCTTGTGCTTTTTTCCCATGATTGTTCGGCTGGCTGACGCTGGCCAGCCCACTCACACGCGCGGTCACGCGCGCGGTCCTGTTTATATAAACAGTGTCTTTTCAGCTACAATAGTATTTCTTCACGTCAACCCAGCCGAAACAGTATTTTGGCCGCCAGCCGAACAAGCCCAAGAAAAACTGCCACTGCCGTTCTTCTTCTTCCTGTGGCTGCTCTCTCTGACTCTGAGGCGGCCCGGCCCCGGACCGACGACCGAGACGCCGGCAGCCAGCGGTGAAGCTAGCTCCGTCGACGATTTGAGATTTCCTTCCCGGTGCCCATAAACTCGTCTGCACTCGCACGTGCGCCATTGGTGGCCAAGCTCCCGGATCGACTCTTTGCATGCAGCAGTGCCACCCACCATGCCCATTTCCTCCTCAGCTTTCTTACCAGTGTACTAGATGTTCTGCCATTGCCGAGGAGAAAGCTGGTTTCAGGACTTCAGAGGGACGCAGAAAGCTGGGCCATTTGCTCACGCAAGCCCTGTAGATTTGCGTATCTAATCTCAAATGTGCTTCCAGATATTTCTTTCCGTTTTTTGTTTGATAAGAAATGGAGATTTCTAAGCTTGTGCCATAAAGCATGAGTAGTAGTAACATAAAATACTCTCTTGAAAATCTATACTGCAACTATAATGCATTAATTTAATTGCCATAACATCCTACTACCCATATAAGAACAAAACACATTCTTTCTTTTTTTCCCCCTTGAAAAAGGAAGAGTTAAATGCACCAGAGGTCCATTAACTTGTGAGTAGGTTTTAGTTAGGTCCATCAACTTCTAAAGTGGCTTTTTGGATCCATAAACTTTATATGCCGTATCATTTAGATCCATATCCCGCCACACGGGCTTCTCATGCTGACGTGAAACACTGACATGTCCTTCTGAAGCAGCTCTTGGCAATGCATTTTGTCAAACAGTTTGTGGACGAGCGCCAGTACGCTGATGCCCAACCGCGTGCGTGCATCCTAAACCCGTGACCACGCCGCCGCCACCAGAACCGTACATCCAGCCAATGTCTTAGCCCCACCTAGTCTGTTCCTCGTACGCGCAGCTGACGACGTGGATCGCCTCCCTGCGGAGAGAAGAAGCATCTGAGGCCGTGGACGAGTCGCCACCGCCAACGCCGCGCACTTGGCTCACGAACGCTGATGCGATGAACTCCGGTGAATGGCCGAAGTGCCGCTCCAACACGTCGCGGTAGGAACGCAACCTCCGCCTTCTTCCTGCAATGCCAGCGGTTAGGACTCCGAGCAGGTGAGCACTGAGAAGGAATGAGAATTGCTAGCTTCCATCGACGTGCCTGCTTCGGTCAGCTCGTCGGTGTCCTCCGAGTCAAGCAGAGGCACGGTGGACATGGTCCTCCTCAACGCTCGCTTCTTCACCTTCCCGAACCGCCGCCACCTGCTCCGGTGCATCGGCGCGTCCTCATCGTCGTCTTCAGAGAACGCGGGATCGAACCTGTACAGCGCCTTCCTGTTGAAGCAGCACCCGGAGCCGACGTACACCGGGCCCTGGATGCCGTCCAGGAACTTCATGTCGATCCGAACCCCAACGTGCGTCACAAAATCGGGTGTTGGTGTTACGCGACTCGGAGAGCAGTGGCGGACAGCGCTGCAGTGTGCAAGTAAAGCTTTGATCACTTACGCCGAAGAAGACAGAGTCGCGAGTGGCATGCCGCTCGCCACCGTCGTCCTCGACGCCGATCCTCAGCGGGAACTAGACGAAGCACGTCCTGTTCCCGGCCTCAGGGTCCATGAGGAAGCACATTGCCTCCCTCAGGACGCCGCTGTGGGCGATGCAGTGGTCGTGGTCCAGGTTGAGCACGTACGAGCCGTTCGTCAGCAGAGCGGACACCCGGAGCTGGCGAACAAACAACTCAGAAAACCATCGCAGGTTGCAGCTGAAGAACAGACCCACGACGACGACTAGGGCGTTGAGGGCGCCAACTTTCGTGTGATGCTGGAACCCCAGCTTCTTCTCCCGCGACACGTAGAACAGCCGAGGCAGCTCGTTTCCCGCGGCGTCCTGATCGCCGGGGTGCCCAAGAAGAACCTAGACACCATGAATCAAACTCCATTAGATGTCTTGTTGCGCTGGCACGTTGGGGTGAGGTGCACTGTGCAAATAGTCTTGAACTCTTGACGTGTATCATGGTAGGATGGTCTCTCGTGTTGTTCTCGGGCCACGGCGTGCCGTCTGACATGACCCACCCGTCCTTCGGCACCTTCCTCGCCTTCGCGGCGAGGTAGTTCATCCTGACCTTCAGCTCCTCGTACGCCCTCTACAACACAGCCAATTACTCACGATCACCTGGGGTCAATCTCTTCTGCTGACCTATGAGTGATGAGTGATCGATGACCTTCACGACGCGGCATTCCTTGATGAACGACGGCGCGGCCCTATCCCTGAGGTAGTCGACGCCGCGAGCAAAGTAGAGCTCAGGCGCCCTCGGCTCCACGGCGTGATGCCGGCAGAACGGCACCCACCGCCGCGCGAACCCGGTGGCCTCGAACAGCATCATGTCCACGCCGTCGTTGGAGACGTAGCAGGTCAGCCTCCGCGCCGGGTAGTCCGCCGCGAGCACCGACAGGACCGTGTTCGTCGTCGCCAGCGGAGGCTCCGACGACGTACCCGCGCCCGCCGCTGTCACGAGCACGTCCACGCTACCCAGCCGCGACGACGGCTCACCATCCTCACCGTCCCTGTCGTCGTCGTACCTTGATGCCAGCCTGTCGAGGTGCGTCTCACGGTTGGTCGGGGACAGCTTCGGGAGTTGCGCGACGAGCCACGCGAGGGCGAGGCACAGCTCGTAGATGAGCGCGGCCAGCCAGAGCCAGGGCGCGCCGGGTGCATGACGCGGTACGGAAGAAGGCGCCGGGTGCGTAGACGAGCGCGGACAGCTGTTTGATAAAATGCATTGGCAAGAGCCGCTTCAGAAGGACATGTCAGTATGCCATGAGAAGCCCGCGTGGTGGGATATGGATCTAAGTGATACGGCATATAAAGTTTATGGACCTAAAAAGGCACTTTAAAAGTTGATGGACCTAACAAAACCTCCTCACAAGTTAATGGACCTCTGGTGCATTTAACTTGAAAAAAAAAAAGGAATATCATACTGTAGCCGGAGCATCGAACCTTCCCTTTGCAATGAGGAGGAAGAGGGCGGCGTCCCTTTCGCCGGCGCCAGGGTCGGCGGACGCGAGCGCAATGCGTAGCCTCCGCCTGCGCCTCGTCCCCCTCCTCGCGATCGCCGCGGTCCTCTGCCTCCTCTCCTTGCCCTCCCGGCGGTCCCCGCCGCCGGAACCGCCGCTCCCCTGTGGCGCGGCGCCCTCGGACGCGACGGCGGGGCGGTGGGTGCCGACCCCGGAGCCCGTGCCGGCGCCGCTCTACACCGTGTCGTGCCCGTTCCACCGGGGCTCCTACAACTGCCTCCGCAACGGCCGCCCACCGCTGGCCCCGCTCTCCTGGGCGCCCGCGCGCTGCGGCGGCGCCGTCGTCCTGAGGATCGACCCCGCGGCGTTCCTTGCCGCCGCCAGGGGCCGCCGCGTCGGCCTCGTCGGGGACTCGCTGTCCGAGAACCTCGCCGTCGCGCTGCTCTGCGCGCTCCGCTCCGCCGACCCCGACGCGCGCAGGTGGAAGCGCCGCGGCGCCTGGCGCGGGTGGTACTTCCCCCGGGACGACGTCACCGTCGCCTTCCACCGCACCGTGCTGCTCGCCAAGTACACGTGAGTACTGCTCGTCTGCTTGCTCCTCAACGCTGTTGCTTTCTTTCTTCCTGCATCTGGTTTGTTTAGACATCAACTTTTTCACTTTTAGTGATCAAATATGAAGATTTAAGAATTTGCAAAATAGAATCATGAAGCTCACATGGTGGTAACTAATGATACAAAAGATGGCAGCCAGTGGAGAACCCGGAGGAAATTCAGAAGGATGGGATAAAAGGGATTTACAGAGTGGATGTGGACATTCCTGCTGATGAATGGATAAACGTCACCAAGTTCTATGATGTGCTAATTTTCAACACCGGGCACTGGTAAGGTTGCTGTTCCCAAATTTGCAGTTTTTCTTTTTCTTTTGTTTTGGCCATAGTTTGTCCATGAGCAATGTTCGACACATTTGTCCATAATCAGGTGGGTGACATACAAATTCCCAAAAGAGACTCCCCTTGTTTTGTACAAAGATGGAAAACCAATCGAGCCTCCACTCAGCATTCCTGACGGCCTGAAACTAGTCCTCAAAACCATGGCGTCTTACATCGACAGGGAGCCCCCCGAGCACGACGCTGAAGCTATGGCGCACGCAGTCGCCTAGGCACTTCCATGGCGGCGAGTGGGATCACAATGGCAGCTGCGTGACCGACAGACTCCTCAAAGAGCATGAGGTACCATTGCTACCATTCTGAATTTCTGATTTCTGACAGACGGGGACATCATCAACTTGCTCTTTCAGTTCCAATATAATCCTGCATTTCAAATTTGTGAATTTTTTTGTTTGACTCATCATGGTGGGTGCAGCTGGACTCTTGGTTTGATCCGCGGTTTGGGGGCGTGAACGAGGACGCGAGGACGGTGAACTCGGTGATCCAAGAAGCGCTGGCAGGGTCAGGCATCCGGCTGGTGAACCTGACCTACATGATCGAGTTCAGAGCCGACGCCCATCCGGCGACCTGGCTGGGGAAGAAGGACGCGGTGGCTGTGTATGGGCAGGACTGCATGCACTGGTGCGTGCCTGGCGTGCCGGACACTTGGGTCGACATCTTGGCGGCACAAATCTTGCATTACTTCAAGCAGCTGGGAAAACGCTGATGATGCATGGTTGCTTTTCACTTTTCAGTGAACGAAGTTGTGATCACCGGCTCGATCTGCCGTCACTGCTTTGCAAATGTGGTTTCTTTTAAAACGAAAAGCCCAAGGTGATAGACTGATGATAGCTGAAGAAATATGATTTTAGTGCTAGAGACGTCGAAAACGGTCGGAGGAGTCGTAAACCATTCTCAATCATATTTTCCCCCCAAAACTGAAATCGAATATGATATCACAGAAAACCAATGCAACATCAGTACTTAAAACTAGTGAAACTAATGGACGTGATTGGTTGGTTGGATGCCCAGCCTAGCCTGGCTTGTATCACAACCAGACCTCAGCTAGACAGGCTCAACACATACGAGATTGTATTGTTTGGTTGGTTGGATTCATCTGGCCTCGCTATACAGAGACTCTGTTTGGTTACATGCATGTGCAAGCAAATTCATAGACAAGAATTCACAGAACTCTTTGTTTGGTTGCCTATACATACGCAAGATTTTGGTTACCTCATGCAAGAGGGGGTGAGAAGACCCTACTATCCAATGCCAAGTATATTTCATAGCTGGGAACTCCTCCCTGAAAGCGAGGGATTATGCGGCAATAGTAGACTGATTATGATGGAGCATTATTATAGAAGAACTGTCACAGCCAGTAGGATGACATGCCCATGAATCTAATCTACCACACGCACACACGGTCAAAGGCCGGCGGTGAGAACACACGCAAGGGCCCAAGGCCCAATTCAAATCTGCCTGCCTAACAGGCCCTACAATTACAGTGCAGTCCACTTGCTGCGAACCCTGCCTGGTGACCAAAGATTAGATGCACCAACCAGTTAACTGAAGAATATGCTGTTTACTCCAGCCCTGTACAGCTGCATGGACTCAGGGCCACGGTTAGAGAGCTTAATCTCAGTGTTTGCAGGGACGAAGAAAACATCGCCTTCCTTTGCCTTTTTCTTCCCATCAGACAGAGAATCTGCCTGGAGCTCACCTTCCCCGGTTATAACGAGAAAGACAGATGGGCCTGGCACCAAAGGATATGGTAACAAGTTCATCTGCAGGTACCAAGCAGCAATCGACCTCGAACTCATCAAATGGAGGCGTGTAGCGCCTTACGTGTGGCTGCACAGGAACGCCTTGCAAGATTTCCAGGAATGCCTGCATGAATTGAAGGAGGCTCAGTGATGATGATGACTGATGACACCCACAAAATATAAATTAAAGAAGCAAATTACAAAAACATGCCAGTAGCTTGGAAGATTGCCGATTATCAGTTAGTTTTTATTTCCTAACTTGACAGACGATGTGGTGTTCATTCATTAAGTTGATTCAAAAAAAAATACTTACAGATTTCACTTTTTCCATGAATGTGCATATATAGGCCAGAAAAAACTAGGATTCTCAAAAACATAAATTTTTTAACACCAAAGTGAACTTAGGTACTAACTTGTGAGGTTCGACATCATCATAGATCAACGAAGATCACTGGCAACATTGTAAACACAGAGATATACTTGCAAATACGAACATACAGGTGGAACAAGTAAAATATAAAGGAAGGAATAATATAGACGTGACATAGTAATTAATATCGACACACTCACCTGTTTGTATGTTAGCATTTGAGCAGAGAGTTTGTATATCTTTGTATTTAGGAGTCAAACCAGCACGGACAACATTGTCCGAAGTGGCCATGCATTCAATGCATTCCCCAGAGAGATACGCATGCGGTTCATTTGCACCAATATAAAGTGCTTCACCAGGGCTAAGTTTGACGTAGTTAAAGAAGAGCGTTGCTAGAACACCAACATCCTCTTGATATTGTCTCTCCAGTGACAAAACCAGCTGTTCTTTATCTGTTAAGGTCCTAATAATATGGATAGATAAAGAAATCATGAGCCAAGAAGGAACCAAAGGCTTCACCATTGTTGCCCATGAAAACTTTTAAAAAGCAAGACGTGGAACATGAGTGAACACTGATGCCAAACATTTTTATTTTGGGAAAAAGGAGCCTGTTTGTCTAGTTGCTTATCAGTTATCACCATTGAAGGACCTTTTCAACCATTACAAATTGTACTGGGCAAATTTAAATGTTTGAATTGTCACAGAACACAGATACCAAATTATGGAATACAGCAGTTTACTGCCTATACATTCAATTTAGTGCATGCTTGTTAGATTTAACACCTGCTTCCAAAATATTGGTAGCTACTATATATACTTGGTGGTGTGCAAAAAAAATGGGTGGTCATATGAACTTCAAAAGTATATGTATCATATGAAAAAATAGGGAACATTGGTGCAAATTTGTCTTGCTGTAACAGAGAAACAAGGTGTAAAAAAATCATTCAAATCATGTTAATCCAAACAAAAGGGATAATGACACGATGTAGATAAAAATGCATGGCAACCTGGGTGCCTTTTAGCATGGCAAAATTTCAAGCTTTTGACTGATCTACAACTACATGCAGTAGTACATGCATGTTTGCAGTTTCCAATGGTTCATGTCCCAATAGCAATATATATCCAACATTTGATCGAGGCTTTGTGATCAACCTTGTCAGTTATGCTAAGCATGTAATCTTTTTTATTTTCAAGGAAACATAATGTTAACATCTGTTACAAATACTCTAAATGTGTCTGAACCAATATGATATTTAGCTTTGCAAGCCGCATGCAGATGATCTTGTAAGCTATATATGTTCAACCTTAACATTATCTCATTTTTGCATTTAGCCTATACCACCATGTTTGGCAGTTAAAGTACCTTTGATGATTAAACACATCATAACAAAACAAATAAAATAATAATTTTATAAATTTTTTTGAATAATACGAATGGTCAAACATTGTTTCAAACGTCAATGGTGACAAGTATTTAAAAACGGAGGTAGTATGGGTGCAGAAAAATTATTTCACTTGCTCTCAGTATTCAGGCGACTGATCAGTTTGGCAGGTGCTTCAGAAACCATGTCTTTACTTGCTACCATTAGCTTAGCAAAAGCTGATTGCAAACTGGATTTTACTTCATTACCCCCATCATACTCGTTGAAGCTCATCAGCTTGGCAGCATGCTCATGCCCAATTAGCCCTTCAACTTCAGGTACAGTCCTCATGGACATCCCTGAGCTCCTTCATTGTATAAACCAGGGAGAAGCAAAGCACCATTGCGACGGATCAAAGCTATGTGATCAAGGCGTATGTATGCTTCTGGGCACGGCGACACGCACGTCGTACCTGGATGCCAGCAAAGCCATAGAGCGCCCGAAACTCGGTGATGGCGATGGCCATCTCGGGCTTGTGGTTGCCATCCTTGTAGACGGACGGCCGCAGCGCGTGCAGCGCCTCGGCGAGTTTTTTGTCCGGGTGCGCCTGGATCGAGAGCGCCTTCGCCACCGACAGCACCTAACGTACGTAACCAGCGTCGCCGGCCGACGGCTGAAGCATATAACGTGCGACGTACGTGATCGAATCAAGCAAGCCAAAACAAACAAAACAGCTAGCGTACGGTACGTACCTTGAAGAGGAATGGGAGGTCGCCTCCCCAGCGCGCGGCGACGGCGGGACCGAGCGCGTCGGGTTTCCGCGTGAGCCAGTCGCTGAGGAGCAGGAGCTCGCCCTCGCCGTCGTCGTCGAGGAGCGTGGAGGGGCCCAACGGGTGCGTTCCATCCAGAGCTCAGCGTCGGGGTCGGGGTCGGGGTCGGGGTCCTGCTGGTCGGCGAGACGCGCGACGAGGGAGGCAGACCCGCGCCGGCCCCACTCGTAGTGCTGCACCGCGCAGCAAAGCCTCTGCGGCGGCGGCGGCGGGTCCTCCATATCCATTGGCGGTGCGCTGGGGTTTTTGCGCTGGGGTTGGAGGGGCAGACGCGTTTCTCTTCTCTTTTCCTTGGTGGCGGCCCAAGGCCCAAGGAGAGCCCGATGCGGCGTGGCAAGTGAACTGGACCGCGTGCGTCCGTTTTCCTGTGTCATTTGTCCTCTATTTTCCTCCGACTCACCCAATCCTGATTGTGCGTGCGCCCCGCCCCGGGGAAGGTTCTCGCCGGTGAGAGAGGTTGTCACAGAGCCACAAAGCAGGGAGCCGGTTGAGGGAGATCCGTCATGGAAGACACCGCCGCAGGGGAAGAGAGCTTAAGGTGCTCCCTCTCACTAGGGAAGGGAGCTTGGGCATGACTCATCGAGGGAGCCACGCCGAGGGAGGGTCTTGCCGGGGAAGAAGAAGGAGGCGAATCATCGTCGAAGGCGGATGGACGGGCGTGGTTCCACGAGTGCTTGCGGGAGGAAAACTATCACAACCGTCACTTGAGGACTTGCACCAGGGCCCCTATGAATGAGGGGGGGAGGGATTTGAGGGGGGGGGGGCTAAAATTTGAGGGCTCCAGGGCCTCTGCTAAAAAGCTCTTTTTTATTTTGACTTTGGCCCTTAAATTTGGTTTCGATGGCTCAAGCAGTGACCATGCTGAAGTTGCTCTTAGAGAAAGCAATGCACCTAGATTATCATTTGTGCTCTATCATAGGTATTAAAAGTTCCATGAATAAATTTAATGCATGCATCTAAAAAATTGATTATCTTTACTCTCTCTATTTATTTTGTAACAAAAATACCCATCTAGAATCTCTATCCATCATCTAAAAAAATCTAGTATCTCAATCCGGATGTGTTTAAATTTGCCAATTACTCTATACGCGTTTTCATTATTTGAATTACATCTCTATGGATATTAGTTAAAACCTTCGCTTAGTTTATACGAACTCTTGTTGCTAATAAATCGATATTTTGGCTTTCAACTTTTGGTCTTATATGGTTGTTACAAATTTTGATCCATGTGTTAAATTCAAACTCTAATTCTTATTAACTACTACGTAAACCATTTCTGTTACACCCTTTTTACCACCAGTTTAGAAGAATCGACAGTGATAATATTTCATCGCCCGGTTCTAGGGCCGAAAGGGGCGCAATGACTGTTTGAGCCACAGTAAAAGCACCTTGTTGTTGAAGTACTCCATCAATTCCAAATTACAAGATGTTTTATAATTTGGAATGAGGACGTACATGTCAATACAAGTCACTTAAGGTTCGATCCCTTGACTGGTAGGATGTGGCACAACCACCAAAAGAAGCAATTCTTGGTTCTAACCTTTTTTCTGAGGTTAAGTAGGTAGCTAAGAAGTACATGCAAGTATAATTTGCAAGAAAATGACTGGGTCTTGGACTTAACGTAAGGAGGTTTGCTAATAAGTTCTCATATTCTTCTTCTGAAGGACGGGACGGAGACTGATCCATTAGAGCATGTAATCTCATTCCAGCGATGTGACGTGTTGCCGAACCAGGCGAAACTTCCTACGAAATGGTGGCGCCCTCGAGTGAACAATGCCATGACCCATGACACAATGGGACAACGTACAATGGTGGAAAATTGGAAATGTAGTTTACTGGTGGTCACACTATTTATCATTTTATATACTGGCTAGCAGATGAGCCCGAGTCCGCTGCCCTAGTATACCTGTTCTCACTTGAAAGCCCCATTTGAAGCTTATAAATTTCACGAAACAGACTAATCTATTACTTATTATTATTATAAAATTAACACAAGATTACTAGAAGTCAATGATGCATGTGACTAGGTTTCATGCATCATCGTTTCATGATGAATGGTTAGCCGCCAAATGCATGTTACAGTACCAAATGATAATGGTCTCGTTCGGCTTACCTTATAATCCACACTATTCAGCTTATTTTTTCAGCCGGAACAGTGTTTTTCTCTCACAACAATTCAGCAAGAATAGTGTTTTTCAGCCAATTCAGCCAAGTTTTAGCAAGCCGAACGGGGCCAATGTTGCCAAATGCAAGCAGCAAAAGGAAAGTCGAAAATTGATCTGCGGCTTAATGAAGGCAGATAAATAATATTTGGCTGCTTACAACTAACGAATTTACAGCATGTTCGCTTGCTCATATACGATCGTGGATTATAAGTTAGAACAGTATTTTTCTCTCACACTAAACCAACCAGCAGTAAATAATCCACGATCGTTTACGGCCTGCCGAACAGGCTGTTAGGCTGCATGCCAGTTTGATTAGTTTGACTTCATGCCTCACATGCGAAACGAAGAAGAAAAGACTTTTTGGGTGGTCAAGTTCCAAGCTCGAGCAGCAAGCAGACCCCCATGTGTTTTATGTCTAAAATTATACTATACACACGCACGCACACACGAGCACTCGAGTATCTTTTGTAGGCCGTCGTCTCTCGAGAATTTCCAGCCAACAACAACTGAAAAACGGCCGGTTGTTGGTACTATCGAGACTGTAGCAACAAACGTTGGGCCCATGTTCATAGATTGCTTAGCCAAGTTAGACTGGATTGGTTCTTAGGTACTTAGGCTCCGTTCCCTTGGCTGAAAAAATAAGCCAAAGCTGAAATGTTGTTAGTGAAAAACACTATTCCGGCTGAAAAAATAAGTCGGCCTTTAAGGTAAGCCAAACGAGACCTTAGAATGTTGGGATGTCAGGTGTAGCGATTAATGATGAAGAGATAGATTGATGAAGTAGCACCTAATATAGTTATCTGTCGATGATACCCCGGTCATAAATAATGCCGGGGCACCCTCTATATAAGCAGGTGCATATATTCTGAAGCGGCAACTCACTGCATCTCTGATATCTCAGCTAGCTCCTGCAGCATTGCCTCTCTGGCGAAGTGGCAAGCAAGGAACTTAACCGCAAGCCATGGCGTCTGTTCCGAAGCTTCTTCTCCTGAGCCTCCTCTTTTTTCTCAGCTGCTATCGCTCTCACATTGCTCACGCAGGTGATGATGGCAGCTACAAGGTTCTGTCCATTGGCTCTCAGTCTCTGAGGACCAACAAGTCCGTCTGTTCCGAGTCCAAAGGTGCAGTACTGTCCGTGCACGCACCAGCAGTTTCCTTTCCTTCGACTCGGTTGATTATTTTGTGCACAGTTTTACTCATATATATGACGTACAATCGTTTCCCTTGCTTTGATGGTTGTTCCCAGCAGCGGTTCGGTCGTCGTCCGGTGCCGCCACGGTGCCGTTGCATCACCGTCACGGCCCATGCTCGCCGTTGCCGACTAACAAGATGCCAACTTTGGAGGAGAGGCTGCACCGCGACCAGCTCCGAGCTCCCTACATCCAGCGGAAGTTGTCCGGCGGCGTCAAGAAGGGCGGCCGCGGCGGCGCTGGTGGTGACGTCCAGCAATCGCACGCTGCCACCGTGCCGACGACCCTGGGCACCTCCCTGAACACGCTGGAGTACTTGATCACCGTACGCCTCGGCTCGCCGGGCAAGTCCCAGACCATGCTCATCGACACCGGCAGCGACGTGTCATGGGTGCAGTGCAAGCCGTGCTGGCAGTGCCACTCCCAGCCTCCCAGGTGGACCCACTCTTCGACCCCAGCTCGTCGAGCACGTACTCCCCGTTCTCCTGCAGTTCCGCCGCCTGCGCGCAGCTCGGCCAGGAAGGCAACGGCTGCTCCAGCTCCCAGTGCCAGTACATTATCACGTACGGCGACGGCTCGAGCACGACCGGGACCTACAGCTCCGACACGCTCGCGCTGGGCTCCAACACCGTCAGGAAGTTCCAGTTCGGGTGCAGCAACGTGGAGTCGGGCTTCAACGACCAGACCGACGGGCTCATGGGGCTCGGCGGCGGCGCGCAGTCGCTGGCGTCACAGACGGCGGGGACGTTCGGCTCGGCCTTCTCGTACTGCCTCCCGCCGACGCCGAGCTCCTCCGGGTTCCTCACGCTCGGCGCCGGAACTTCGGGCTTCGTCAAGACGCCGATGCTCAGGAGCAGCCAGGTCCCCACGTTCTACGGCGTGCGCATTCAGGCCATCAGGGTGGGCGGGAGGCAGCTCAGCATCCCCACCTCGGTCTTCTCCGCCGGGACGGTCATGGACTCCGGCACGGTCCTCACGCGGCTGCCGCCGACGGCGTACTCGGCGCTGTCGTCGGCGTTCAAGGCCGGGATGAAGCGGTACCCGCCGGCACCGCCCAGCGGCATCCTCGACACTTGCTTTGACTTCAGCGGCCAGTCCAGCGTCAGCATACCGACCGTCGCGCTAGTGTTCTCCGGGGGAGCCGTTGTCAACCTCGACGCCAACGGGATCATGCTGCAGACCAGCAGCAGCATCCTCTGCCTCGCCTTCGCGGCCAACAGTGACGACAGCTCTCCCGGCATCATCGGCAACGTGCAGCAGCGGACGTTCGAGGTGCTGTACGACGTCCGCGGTGGTGCTGTGGGGTTCAAGGCTGGGGCGTGCTAACCTGATATATATCGTGATCGGCGAAGGACGTCGTTGATATATTTATCTTTGTTAATTTAATTATCTTTTTTTGAGAATTGTTAATTTAATTATCTTTGTGATTGCAATAACGTGATGCAAGTGTGCAAATTAACTACAGCCCAAAAGATAAGGGAAAATGGTGTTCTTGCCCCTTGTACAGACGTGCAATTGTGATTTTGTCCTCGTTTTTCTAACTTTGTGATTTTGCCCTTAACTGTTCACAAGTCAACGCGATTTTGCTCCTGGTCAACGTTGAATTTGCCCCTGTTTTTACCGTTGACCAGGGGCAAAATCGCGTTGACTTGTGAACAGTTAAGGGCAAAATCACAAAGTTAGAAAAACGAGGCAAAATCACAATTGCACATCAAAGTAGGGGCAAGAACACAAGAGCCCTGTAAGGAAAATGGACCCTTGGCTCATTTACTTTGAATTTTGGTGTTTGATGACCAACACAACTAAATTGGACTAATAAATTTGCAAGTGTTTATTTTGTAGTTCAATAGGGTGCAAGACGTGACTTAGACGAAGGCGACGTGGTGATCGATGATCAACATCTTAAGAAAGACCTTAGAAGCACAAGAGAAGACCCAAGATATCAAGCAAAGTCCAAGCACGAAGATTGGAACCAAGCCGTACGCAAGATCACGAAGAAACGAGCTCACTGAGGTGACC